GCCCGCGCACAGTGTGAGTGGCTGGTAGCGCAGCCCTTCCTTCCTGGTGCTGCACAGCGTAGCCGCCCTTTTTCCACCAGTTATAAACACTAAACCCTTTTTTTCCTGCAGTAAGCCATGTAGCCGTCCCTCCTCAGGAAGAGGGAGGCTCTGTGGGGGGGGCACTGACAGGGGGACGCTTGGCTTAACAGTCGAGTGCTCTGGTGCCTGAGCACACCCGCAGCCCCCAGCAAAGCAGCACTAGATTGGCTTAACAGTCGAGTGCTCTGGTGCCAGAGCACCCTGCTGTCAGGGCTGCACACACCAAGTGTCTTTAAGATGCTTTTAAGCATAGCCTTCAACACTGGAGTTCTTCTTCTCCCATAATAAAAAGCAAACCCTTCATCCCCCCATAAATAAACCCAATAATCCTCCCTTCCCCCCATAATAACCAGCCTGGCGTTATGAATTCAGAACTAGCGCAGCTGCTCCTTCCCCAGGTGAGGGGCACTGCGCAGCACTTACACACCGGAGGGACACTGTGGGGGGGTGTGTAGCACGTACCCCAAGTGCTGCACACACCCCTCCCAGAGAGTTAGTGCTGAGCCCACGCACCGTGTGTCCATACATTGCCCTTCCTTCCTGTAGTAGATAGTGCAGCCCACCCCCCCTTCCCCAGAGCGCAGCCCTTCCTCCCCATAGTAACCAGTGTGTCTCTGTGCACAGCCCAGCCCCTGCTCCCTTCCCGTAATAACCACTGTTCTGCTCCTAGCGCTGTGTGCAGCACTTACACACGGTGTAACAGCGGAATATGCTGCTTGTAGCGCTCAGACGGGTCAGTTCAGCCCTGGGTGGGTTGGTTTGAGTTGTGTGCACAGCACTCAAACTAAATTAATAAATCAAGTGCAGCCCTGGGGTAGGGTGCAGCCTTTAGCTATTCCTGGGCACTCTGCAGGCAGCACTTTACTAAACAGTTAAGCGCTGTGCACACCAAGTAGTTTAGTCACTTAGTGAAATTAAAAGTGCAGCCCTTGGGGTAGGGGGGGTTTGGGTGAAGTGATTCCTGGGCACTCTGCAGGGAGCAGCGTGATGGTGACAGCGCACAAGGCATGGGAGAGGGAAGGCGGTGTTTGTGCACAGCGCTCAGTGCAGCACTCGACTCCTCAGCAGTAAATGAACAGAACCCGGTTGTATCTGTGGGCACGGAGCTGCGGCGGGGGCCACGGATTGCTGGGGGGGCCTTGAGCAGTGCAGCACCTTGTGCACACACCCAGCGCTCACCAGCTCCACTGTGTTGTCCCCCCTTTGCCTCTCAGCGCTGGTGCTTGTCTCTTGCAGGCACTGAGCGAAGAGATCAAGAGCATGCACGGGCTGCGCATCTTCACCTCCACCCCCAAGCCTTGAGCTGTGGCGCCGATTCCAATTGCTCAATAAAGATGCTCCCCCAGAGCCGCTGCTCCAGGGCACGGTCGCTGCTGTTTCTTCATGTTCTCAGTTGGGCTGCACCTGGGGAGGAGGGGCTGTGAGGGGAGGGGGCAGGAAGAAGAGACACCCCTCCTCTTCCTCAGAAAGAAGAGCAGGAAGGAGAAACTTTATTTCCATTATTGCCTTGCCCCACCCAGCAGCGGTGGGGGAAACACCAGGTTGCTGCTCCTCCAGCCCAGGCACTTTTGTCTTCCCCCCCTCAGTGCCGCTGCCAGAAGGGAGGAGTAAGGCTCTGAGGGCACCCCATAAAAAAAAAAAAAAAAAAAAAAAAGCACTTCCAAAATAAGCTGAGCCACGCTGGTGTTGTCCAGGGGCCAGATTGAGTTGAGTCCCATCCTCAGCCAGGCTGCAGTTCTTGCCAGACTTGAGCAGGTAGCTGAGAAAACTGAGCGGGGGAGCGGGGCTCGCCCCCGCAGCGCAGCCCGAAACCTCAGAATTTTTTTTGCACAGGAGAAGCGATGCTTGACCCCGAGACTGACGCCCCGTGAGCGCTGTCTGGCATCTTGTGTCGCGGAAGGCGAAGCACGGAAGTGGCTCACAGACAAAGCAGAAAGGAGCAGCTGAAAACGTCCTTCCAGGGAAAGTTTATCTGTCCTTGGAGCCCAGCTTCTCGATCAGTTCCTGCAGTGGAGCCAGCTCCCGCCTGTCGATCAGGTTGAATTCCTAGCAGGGAAAAAAACCAACACAAACGCTAAAGGCACCTGGCAAAGAGCTGCTGGAAACATGTCCAGCCTCTGCACGTGTGCTGGAACTCGCTGGGTCGTTGCATGCTGGCTCTGAGAAAAACCCCAACAGGGCATCACTGCAGCAGCCACCTCTCCTGGTTCTCTGCAGAGAAATCCCAGCATTTCAAGACAAAAAACCCTTTTTCTGCCATGCTGCAAACACAAGTCATAGCTGCAGTCACAGTACAAGCTGTTAAAATACTGGCAAGGAGGAAAAAAAAAAAAAAAAAGGACGCTGCGCACATTTTTGTTTAAAATCGGGGCAAGACGAAAAAAAAAAAAAAAAAAGGTGCTGCTGCAATTCCTGAGATGATTCTTGAGCTACAAAACTCCCCATTCTCCTCCAAGCCTGGTTTCTTCTGCTGCACGTCGATAGCTACAACCTGAGAGGGAAATTCAAACATTTTCAGCCACAATTCCTGCAAAAAAACCAAACCAAACCCAACCCAACCCCCAAACCCAGCACCACAAGCACACAACACCATGGCTGCACGGTTCGTGTGGTCCAGAGGGTGGGAACCAAGCAAATCTTCCAACACGGCTGGAGATCTTCAAAGAGCGAGGCAGTGCTTAAAATCCAAAAAAGCAAACCAGGAACAAGAAACCTGAGCGACTGGTTTGGGACTCACCTGCACGAAGAAGATAAAGTGCTTGAAGGAGGTGTTGAGGTGGGCCTCCTCCTGCAGCCGCATGACGGAGTCAAAGTGCTGGTGGTAGATGTGGGCATACACGCGGAACAGCCGCTTCAGGATCGTCTTGGCCACCGACATGAAGTTCTTGGGAAAAGGGACGCCTGAAACACACCAACACACACGGCTAGATCCTTCCCTTCGGTCAGGAGTATCACAGTGAGACATTCTGGCAGTGCCTCGGTCCCGTACGCGAGGCCCACTGTGTCAGGCACTTACCGATCTTTGAAGGGAAAAGCGTTTCGTCGTCCAGCTGGTCCTGCACCCACGTCATCAGGTAATCGATGTATTTGGGAGCCGAGCACTTAATCGGCTTCTTGATATTGGTGCCGTCTGCCCAGTGGTACTCGTACCTGCGGGGCGAGGGACAGAAAATAAATTTTTTGCCCCCGCAGGAAAAAAAAAAAGTTTTTGGGCCTCACAGCTTACTCTGTATTTCAGAGAGGAGCGACACTGCAACACTCCTCAGAAGCGACAAGCAGCGCTTTGCCTTTTTGAGTTTCTCGAGCAGCACACACCAGACTCGGAGTTCACACCTCCGTCCCCACGCTGCAGCCATCGCCCGCAGGGCTTCCCCTTCCAAAATGAACATCAGCTTTGTGGTAACCTCCTCTGACATCAACACTGCCTTAAAACGAGACAAAAACTGGCCAAAGGGGAAGCTCGGGGCCATCGTTTGCCATCTGAATTAACTCACCCGTGGCTCTTGGGCACTCTCCAGGGACGCGGCACTCCCTCTCCCCTCGCAGGAGATGGACAACTCCCCGAGAGACCATCCCTAGGGCTGCACGATCGACACGCGTGCTTATCCATCCCACAGCTCCTCAGACACCAGCTGCAACGTCACACAACACCACAACCCGCTTTCTCCGAGATCTGGTGCAAAATCCTTCAAAAGCAGGGGAAAAACCCCTGGGTTTCGACTGTCACTTCTTGACCGACAACAGGCAAAACCAAACGGTGCCACTAACACAGGAAGTTGTTACAGGAAGTGTCCCCAAATATAGAAACAGGAACTTACAATCGAGATACTTCTGGCTCAAAAAGCGGGGCAGGATGTTACACGGCACTTACAAATACTGGCCAGGCTCCAGTACACCCACCAGCCAGACTCCACGTTGCCGCCCCGAAACACAAAGAGCCCCGAGTAACCTTACAAACAAGATACACGGCTGTAGCTCCACCTCGACAGAACACACAAGCGCAGAACCAACACGGAATCTTCTCCTCACAGATATTCACACCTAAAACCAAGGTGTCCCAAACACACCTTCACTGTTTCCTCTCACATTCCACGATGCCCCGACCTTCTCCTACAAAGCGGTTACACCCCGTCCAGCACGTGAACACGCCTCCTGACCACCTCCTGCGCTTCTTGGCAACACAGTGAGCACCAGCGCGACTGGAGGGACAAAAGCCGCTAAAACCACCTCGGGACAGTTGTGCTTTGTGCCCTTCAGGCCCCTAAGGACACTCAGCCATTCCCTACGGCCTCTGTAAGCACGAGGTTCCCTTTAACTCTCCGCAATGACAGCGTCTGGCTGCTCTCTTCACCCCACACGACCATCACACGCACCGTACGGTAACCGAGCGTTCGCCTGCCTCGTGTCCCTCCTGCCCCATGCTGGTGGCGGCAGTGTTAGAATCGCTTGTGCTCAGAAAAACCACCCTACGGCCTCTCCAAGCACCGGCGCCATGAGACAGCACAGACCAGACTCTTCCAGTCAATTCAGATCTCCCATTTTCCTCAAAACTATTGCAACAACACATCAACTTACAAACAACACAGGGACCTGACCCACAAGGGGAAAACAGATCGCCGTGCACACTTCCCCTAGACAGATATTCACCGTGCCAGACAAAGTGTGCGCTACCCACACCACACAACCCCCCGATGGACAGCGTGGCTTTGCACGTGGGTGAACAACGCCAGGGGAGCACGATGCTGCACCTCAAATGGATCTGGACACGTCCCGTCCGCTTTTTAGCTTCTTTCTACGCATGCTCGAGCAGCCCCCTTGCCCGCCTACTTCCCCACGTTTAAATTGCGGCTGTAGACTGCAACGTCTTACCTTGGTCCTGCAGACATGACCGGACAGCTCGCCTCCGTGCAGAACTCCGTGATGGTCCCGTAGAGCATGTTGATTTGGTTGAAGAAATCCACAGCTGGAAAGGAAACACACTGGGTTTACTCAAAGTGCAAAACCAAAGCAGACCGGAGCTCTGGTTCGCTCTCGTTCAGCTGACACAGCCTCTGAGGGATTGCTGGCGTGAGGGCAAATCTGCCACAAAACTCTGGCAAAAACATCCCCCTTCCGTATGACGTCATGCGGCTGACGACTTCAGGACATTTTAGCCATCCAGGAAGTTAATTGTCAATTTTTCAAATAGAAAACAAAAGAGAGAAAACAAACCTAGAGTTCAGTGGACAGTACAGTTCCACCTTTTCCCTGGACTATGCGCTGTCACCATTTTCTCAGCCGAGAGTGCTAACTTTGTAATTCCAAATATCAAGAATCAAGTCTAAATCCCAAGTACAAACCATTTACAAACCCAACCACCTTTGCGAGTCTGAACTCAAAAAACCCACCCCAAAACCACAACAGTGTGGGTTTGTTTCCCCCTTCGACACAAGACCCAGGTGCCGCCAGCACGTCACGCCACTCACTTTCCTTTCATCCCAACTCTAGTACCTAAACAGAGTACGCATGGGATAAAAATTTCATTTGGGGAATTTCTAGGTTCTTTTAAGGATAAAACACGGAGGTTTCTTGTTTTCCCACTCCACCGCCACGCTCGGGCGGCTCCCTCTCTCACAGGACTCACTGTTAACCGCGATCCACTCGTTCAGGTCCTCTCCCTCCGGCAACATCACTGCTTGTCTGAGGTTACCGCTCCCCAGAGTCGCTTCCGCATGCTTCAGGAGTTCGTACTGATGGGAGCCTTCGGGTATATTCTTCTTGGGTTTGAATGTTTTTGAAGATCGACTCCCACTGACAAGAGAGAAAACATTTCCAGTTAGTCCTGTAACAGCGCTCCCTTCCCAGAAACATTTCCCACTTTACCCCTCGCCATCCAGCACTTTTAACTGGGGTGACACCAGCCCTTCCGTGTTTTCCCCGCTGTGAGGACAAACAGATCCTGTGTATAGGCTGGAGCATTTGTGATGGCGTCACAAAAAAACCACACGCATGCTTCCCTCTTTCACCTACCCTTTTAAAAAAAAAACCACAAGAAACACTCAGTGCAAAGGCCCAAAGACTTAACAAGCAATAGTTGTTTTCGGTCATGGAAAGAAAAGCCCACGTAACTCTGACAAGGGATGAAACGACCTGCTGGCTGCCGCTTGGTCAGCTTGACAGCGGCAAATATTCGACACTCAGCACTCAAATGCACCCTAGGAGACAGCTTGCTAAAAATAGCAACTGAGCAGACCTGAAATGCAAATCCCCATTGTCACCGTACTCTTCCTGTACTGTGTCTCGCCCACAGCTGTGCTCGCAGCTGAGCCATCGCAGAACTCCTCGACAAACTGCCCCTGTCCCTCGGGCTGGCAGTTCCGCAGCCTCTGCCCAAACACTAAGGAGAACTCGATGAGTTTCAATGCCTCTCAACCACAAAACCTGAACTTTCAGACCCCTCCAGCTCCCTCCTTCTGAGCCAGGGTGATGCAAACGGTGGGACGGTCAGGGCCAAAAGCACGGCTCGGGGGAGATGGGTTTCTCCGGCACACAGCATCACTGCCGTCCTGCCCCCGTCGCACGCAACCGGACGCATTCGGCCAGCACGCGCCTTACAGCAGCTTCCTGACACAACCTCACGGCTTTGCACACTGTTTACGTGCCACGCTCAGAGCGGAAATCCAGCTCGCTCTTAAACCAAGCCGCTGCCTCCAGCTGCAGCTGAAACAGGCCCAGCGGGTCACTGGCCTTAGGAAGAAGCTCCTCAGCCCCTTCTTACACCACAAAATGCCTCCAGTCCTCATCCACAGTGCCTACCAGGCCTCAAAAGCCAGAAACCTCCTCACACTTTCCAAGCCTTCACATCTACAACACAGGTATGCGGCAGCTCACCCCCCGGAGCTCGGTAAAGATGCAATTTTTACATCATGCACCTCCAAGTTTACCAAATTAACCCCATCCCCTGTAATCCTCACCTGAGGGCAGCCCCCACACGGACAGGATGAAGGCCTCCTCCCCCTCCCAACTCCCAGGGCTTCCCACTCCAGCAGAGCATCCCTACAGACACCCCCAGCCCCTCAGGACCCCCTCTAATTCCCCTGGAAGACCAACCCCTTAAATTCTCCCCACCTGGGAAGGATTAATCCTTACAAGACAACCA